TTTAGGATGGACTGTTTGGGTCTCCTTGCAGTCCAAGGGACTCTCAAGAGTCTTCTCCAACACCACAGTTCAAAAGCATCAGTTCTTCAGCGCTCAGCTTTCTTCACATTCCAACTCACACATCCATACATGACTACTGGAAAAACCATAGCCTTGACTTGACAGACCTTTGTTGACAAAGTAATGTCTCTGCTTTTTAATATGCTATCTAGGTTGGTCATAACCCTCCTTCCTAGAAGTAAGCATCTTTTAATTTCATGGCTGCAATCACCATCTGTAGTGATTTTGGAGCCCCCCAAAATAAAATCTGACACTGTTTCCACTGTTTCCCCATCTATTTCCCATGAAGTGATGGGACCAGATGCCATCATCTTAGTTTTCTGAATGTTGAGCTTTAAGTCAACTTTTTCACTCTCCTCTTTCACTTTCATCAAGAGGCTCTTTACTTCCTCTTCACTTTCTGCCATAAGGGTGGTGTCATCTGCATATCTGAGGTTATTGCTATTTCTCCCGGCAATCTTGATTCCAGCTTATGCTTCATCCAGCCCGGGCACAAAACTTCATGTAGCAGGTTTTGCACTCACATTTGTCTTGTTCCACTACAGTGAATACAGTGAAAGTCACTCAGTCACGTCTGACTCTTAGCAACCCCATGAACTATATAGTCTGTGGAATTCCCCAGGCCAGAATACTGGAGTGGGTAGCCTTTCCCTTCTCCAGGGGATCTTCCCAACCCAGGGGTCGAACCCAGGTCTCCTGCATTGCAGATGATTCTTTAGCAGCATTGCTGACGTGTAAAGTACTCATTTTGTTTTCTAAGAAAGCACCCGATTCTCTTCCTAAATGGCTGTCCCATTTTACATTGGCACCAGCCATGGAAGAGAGATTCAGTTTCTTTCCATCCTTACGACTATTTAGTTTTGTCACTGGTTTTGATCATAGCTGCTCTGATGGCTGTGTGGTGATATTTTGTTATGGTTTTCTTTCTTTCTTTTTTAATAGCACTAGTTTGTTTTTCTGTTTTTGTCTCTGCTGGGTCTTCATGGCTGAGCACAGGCTTTCCATAGTTGCGGCAAGCAGTGACTCCTTGGTTCTACAAGGACAAGCCTTCTGACTGTCACTAAATGCAACCCAAGCGTATGGCCAAAATCCAGCTGAACTAAAAATTCTCCATTCATTCCTTTGGCGACTTCCCTTCTCACTGGTCTCCCAGGATTGGAATATCCTTCCCTTCACTCTTTTCTGTCCTGTGTGTGTGGACCTTGATGTTGTCAAGGTTCTAACATTGACAGTCTGTTCTTTACCTACAATTGTTTTGCAACTTGCTGTAGGTCGATGCTAAAAAGGGAACATCGGTAGAGCCTTTTGTATTATTCTGATTGGTGGCCAACTCAACAGCTTTATTCTGTTTCTCACTGATCCAGCTTCTCCCCGATCTTGTTCAGGATGACCAGACGCCCAACTCAGTTCTTCTTTTCCCAGCCCCTTGTGCATCCTGGGACAGCTGGTTCTCCAGTTCTGGTTGATGAGACACCGGCTTCCTCCTTCCTGCAGTCCTCCCCAGCTTGTTTCTTCTGGGTGCACATTCTCAGCTCTGCTGTCTGCTGGAACATTTTTGAAATCTCTCATCCTCATGACTTCCTTTTTTGTGTGTGTGGGTTTCTGTTTACCTTCCCACCTTGGGCTCTCCTTTCAATAGGGCCCAGGGACTTTTCCCAGGCTCAGACTTTTCTGTGGGTTCAATCCCTCCTCTGGGAATTAGATCCTGCAGGCTGCAACTGAGACCCAGCACAGCCAAATAAATGAATATCTAAAAGAAAAAAAAAACAGGATCTACACTACACACAAATCCTTAAGCTCCCAACTTGAACCTAAATGACACTCACTTAGGAAAATTCTATCTTGCCACAAGAGAAGGCTTTCATGTGCCTGTTTAGAGATTAATCTGAAATGAATCCAGTTTTCTTCTGAGCCCCTTCTCTTGTCTCCCATTTCCTCAGTGTTGTTCACTTGTCCTTGCAGAGAGAGATGGCACGTTTACAAGCAGATATGAAGATTTTCTTCTGTTTCAGAGCATACCTTTCCTCCCCCCCCTTTTTTTTCACTTAACAACATTTCTTCAAGATCAACCCCTGAACCTCCTTTTCGTGGCTCCATAGTGTCTGTGTGTGCTAGGACACCTTGCACAGAGGTAGAGGTAACTCATCTACTGTAGATGGCCTTGAAGTGCCCTGTAGCTCTGGTGTCCTGAGTTACATCAATTACATGAGTTACATCAGTTACGTCTCATCAGTTACTTTGCTAAATACAATCCTTCGTTAGATGCTTCTGCTTTCATAGCGCTGTGGAAGGCCATGTCACGTGAGTTTGAAGAAGTGCTAGCTGCTGCCCGGGCTGTTTCTCTTTCTTAGGACTTCCCTGATTGCAATAGATCTTGAGAGACAGATGCATAGATGGGGCTAGTTGTTCCTCCCTGGGGAATCTTCCTGTTTCTCCTTTGCCACCAACTGGCTGATGAGATGTCCTTCTCCTGGTCCCACCCATTGAGAAGATCTTCCCTCCCCATGGTCTCTGAGGGGCACACCCACCCCCACTATGGCTGGATCGCAGCCACCATCTATGTGCAGCGGAATCCTTCCCTATCGTCCTGATCGAATATTTGACCCAGAGTGGGTGGGAGCATTTTCAGAGTGCTCCTTGCCCTTCTCCAAGCCCTGGGCTACTTCAAGAGCAGTTAAGTTAGAAAGAGGAGGAAGAACCAGCAAAGGAGACTAAGGAGTGTTTCAAGGAGATCCATCCATTTATTCTCATTGGCGTGTGATGTCAGAGCCACACTGTTCTTAAAATTCCAAAGTCCATCCACAGTAGGACAGCACCCGAGGGTCCCAGTTCCATGCTCTGTGGCCTTTTCTCACTCTCCTGATGCAATTCCTTCCAGTGTTTTATCTGCAAATTTTCAAACCCACTGCAAAGAACAAACAATTTGATAGTAGCTTCCATTTGACATACCTTCTAGATTCTACCATTAACACGTGGCCATGGGTGCTTTGTCACATGTCTATCCACAAGCCATTTATTCACCTTTTTTTTTTGCACTTCAAAGTAAATTCCATGACTGAACCCTGTGCCTACAGCCTGTGCCTTACAACAGGACAAACCACTGGGATGAGAAGGCCACTTGCCACATCTAGAGAAAAGCCCAGCAGCAGCAACTAAGATCCAGCACAGCCATAAAATAAACAAATGAATCTTGTTTTTTTTTTTTTTTAAATGTTGCAAGCATCAGAGCAGTTCATCCGTAAAGGCGTCAGCGTGCATATCATGGATTAGTATTCATTATTTCTATATGATTTTTTTTTTTTAATTTTGTGGTCCAAGGCCTATCCGGTGAAATGTACTGGATGAGTTTGAACAAATACATACACCTGTGCTACCCCAACCCTGATCACAGTTTGGAGCATCAACACTCCAGAAGTTTCTCTCATACTCTACCCAGCTTACCCCTTCCCATCCCATCAGAGGCAACCACCATCTTCAATGTTGTTACTGTCGTTTTGGCGTGTTGTAAAAACCTCACGAATGGGCTCATCTAATGTGTATTCTTTTCCCTAAAGCTTCTTTCACTCAACATCACACTTTTCAGACTGATGCATGTTGACCCCTGTGTCAACATTTTGGTCCTTTTCTTGTTTCTGCCACCTCCTGTGGGTGAATAAAGCCCTGTGAACACCCATGTGCAACCCTGTGTCTTTTCTTTTGGGTGAACACTTCGAAGTGTGGTTGACGGGGCCTAGGATCCGTGTGTGCTAAACTTGTCTTTTTCGCCATCAGCTCCCTAGTACATCTTATGAAAAAGCCCAAAAGAATTTTTTGACCCACTCAATATTTCCCTGATTACAGTGCTTGTAGGCTCTTGTAGTGCATGTGGCCTTCTGAAATGAAGCATCTGTTCAAATGTTCTGTCTGTCTTTTCCTCGCTTGTCATCCTGTTATTGAGTCATAAAAATTCTTCACATGTTCTGGGTATAAATAAGTCTCTGTCAGATGTATGTATTGCAGCTTTTACAGTCAGGCTGTGCCATGCCTTCATAGCTCTTGATCGTCTTTTGGTAGGAAGATGTTAGTTTTGATGGGATCAGTTGCCCGCATCTATGATTATTGCTCTCTCTGCCTACTAAACCTTTGCCTGTCTCAGGGGAGTTTCTTTACTTTGAGGTCTTTATATTTTTTAGTTGTCATGTTGTCATTTGGCTCTTTTGTGTCAGATAGAAGGCACCTCTGCTTCCTCCCCGGTTTTGACGATGCACTGTGCTGCTTTTCTCAAAGTTTGGCTGTCTCACCTTTTCTCTTGGGCAGTGCCAACTGTCTGGTTTTGTCTGGAAAGTCAGGTGGGGATGAACATCCCTGCTGCCCATGCAGGGTTGACCTGGCACCGTGGATTACCAAGACCAACCTTCTGTCTGTCCTCCTGCCCAGGCCAGAGGCCTTAAATTAACTTCAGATGTATAATGCAAAGTCTTTCCAGAGTGTAATTCATCTGGCTGTGCTGTCTGCATGGTTGGGGTCAAGGGATCACAGTTCATGTGGCATCTCGGGCTGATGAGAGGGGTGGCCCATTGGATAAATAACATGGCCCATCAAGTCGAATGCAGTCAGCTGGTGCCTAAGGAGATAAGCATTGGTTTATGTAGCTTGGGTTTCCCTGGTGGCTTAGATGGTAAAGCACCTGCCTGCAATGCAAGAGACCCGGGTTTGATCCTTGGGTTGGGAAGTTCCCCTGGAGAAGGGAATGGCCACCCACTCCAGTACTCTTGCTTAGAAAATTTCCTGGATGGAGGAACCTGGTGGGCTACAGTCCATGGGGTTGCAAAGAGTTGGACACGACTGAGTGACTTCACTTTCATTTTCTGTAGCTTTGGGTGTTGTAGACCTGCAGTGACATCCTGGGGGTCGTCTCAGCCACTTGCTTCATCCAATCCTCTGCTCTTTTGCCCCGCCAGCCTGCGTCACCCCAGCTGAGTGCTGTGATGGAAGACATGTACACCAACGGGCCCGCTGCCCCAGGGAGCCCAGCCCAGACTCAGGGCCAGGAGACCCGGAAGGTGCGGCTCATCCAGTTTGAGAAGGTCACCGAGGAGCCCATGGTAACCCCTGTTTTTTGCCACCATCACCCCCCAACGCCCCCCCCCACCTCCAGAGTGGGCTTCCTGCCTCCTTCCAGTGGTTGACACCCCAGGTGGTGGAGACAGAAAGTCTTTCTTCCAAGAAATCACTTTCGGATGTCTTAAAGATCAGCTCAGCCTGGAGATGGAAACGGCAACCAACTCCAGTATTCCTGCCTGGAAACGCCCATGGACAAAGAGGAGCCTGTCGGGCTGCAGTCCATGGGGTTACAGAACTGAGCACGTGCACATGAGTGTGGAGGGTTGGTCGCCATAAACTGATAGAACTAAAACAAACAAACAAAGAGATCAGCTCAGAAATAGCTCACAGTTAAGCATGCTATGGCCTTGTCTGTCTTACAGGGAATCACACTGAAGCTGAATGAGAAGCAGTCATGTACGGTGGCCAGAATTCTCCATGGGGGCATGGTCCACAGACAAGGTATACGTCCAGCCTTCTTCTATACTTTGTGACATGACTATTTTTCCCGTTAGGTAACATTTGAGCAATTACTATATGCAACCCCTTTCATTTGCCTCTGAATACATAGCAGTGAAGCAAAGAGACCATCTCTGCCTCCTGGGGCTACCAGTTAAAATGAGAAAATAGGGAGTTCATTGGCACATCAGTATTTAGGACTCAGTGTTCTCACGGCTGTGGGCCCTGGTTCAATCACTGGTCGGGGAACGAAGGTTCCATTAGCTGAACAGCATGGCCAGAAAAAAAAACAACTAAGCAAATAGACATTAACACATATTTCAGTAACTGCTGTATCTCCTTCATGTGAAGCAGTCATCAATTTGCAGATGCATCTGTTAGTTAAAGCACTTTTCTTTGTATCTAGGGGATCACAGGTAAGATAACCACTCTTCACAGAGAATCACATAGATTCTAAATAGTGATTAACATGACCACTTGGTAGTGTTTGGAGGTTTTAGCTTAAGAGCAAAAAAACATCAAGCTTGCTGGTGACTTCAGAGTGCCAAGTTCTTCACTTTCTGGTTTTTTTTGAGTGTGTATAGCTGTTATCAGAGGCCCAGGTTTCAGGGGCACTCTAGTTCTAGGACATTTTGAGGATCAGTTACTTATATTCTTCACTTGGAGTCCTGACGTCAAGGCAGATGACATAGTCAACTTCCCAGTGCTGGTCCTCATAGGACCCAGAGGGCCATCAATAGAATATTCTGGTCTCTTGCTGTCGAATACTTCCAACCCTGTGTCTTTTTACACAATCTATTGTATCACGTGCTACAAATCACGGTTTCTTTCCTGCAGTGTTTTGACTCCTATTGACAGCTCTTGTCCGAACCTGTGTTCTTTTGTTGGTAGGCTCACTTCATGTTGGGGACGAGATCCTAGAAATCAACGGCACAAACGTGACTAATCACTCAGTAGATCAGCTGCAGAAGGCGATGGTGGGTATCCACCCTTCCCTTGTCTTGGTGAAACATGGATCGGGATTGCTGTCCACGTACCACATTTTTCTGTGAAAGTGTTTATACCTCATTGAAGGGCCTCGTATCACTCAAGAAATGACAACTCTCTGTTTTCATTTAGTAAACTTCTAAAACAAGGCAGATGACCCAGAGTGTCTGTCTAGAAAGAGCTCTGTACTGAGGGCCAGAAGTCCTCAGTCTTTAACGGCAGCCCTGAATCCCACTCTGCTTTACTCCAGCCCCATGATTTGGAGCAGAATTCACTTCTCTAAGTCATCTATAACACAAAGATGCTAGTAATCACTATTCTTCTGTTATAGATTTCTTACAGAGAGCAATTGGACTAATAGATGAAAAATCAAAATGACAGAATGATCTCTTGTTTGTTTCCAAGACAAACCATTCAATATCACAGTAATCCAAGTCTATGCCCCACTAAGGCTTAAGAAGCTTAAGTTGAACGGTTCTATGAAGACCTATAAGACATTCTAGACCTAACACCCAAAAAGATGTCCTTTTCATTATAGGTGACTGGAATGCAAAAGTAGGAAGTCAGGAGATACCTGGAGTAACAGGCGAATTTGGCCTTGGAGTACAGAATGAAGCAGGGCAAATGCAAACAGAGCTTTGCCAAGAGAAAGCACTGGTCATAGCAAACACCCTCTTCCAACAATACAGGAGAACACTCTACACATGGATATCACCAGATGGTCAATACCAATCTCAGATTGATTGTATTCTTTCCAGCTAGAGATGGAGAACCTCTATACAGTCAGCAAAACAAGACTGGGAGCTGACTGTGTCTCAGATCATGAACTACTTATTGCCAAATTCAGACTTAAAATGGAGAAAGTAGGGAAAACCACTGGACCATTCAGGTATTACCTAAATCAAATCCCTTACAATTATACAGTGGAAGTGACAAAAGATTCAAGGGATTAGATCTGATAGACAGAGTGCCTGAAGAACTATGGACGGTGGTTCATGAGATTGTACAGGAGGTGGTTATCAAGACCATCCCCTAGAAAAAGAAATGCAAAAAAGCGAAGTGTTGTCTGAGGAGGCCTTACAAATAGCTGAGAAAAGAAGAGAGGCAAAAAGCAAAGGAGAAAAGGGAAGATGTACCCATTTGAATGCAGAGTTCCAAAGACTAGCAAGGAGACATAAGAAAGCCTCCCTCAGTGATCAGTGCAAAGAAATAGAGGAAAATAATAGAATGGGAAAGACTAGAGATCTATTCAAGAAACTTAGAGATACCAAGGGGACATTTCATGCAAAGAAGTGCACAATAAAGGACAGGAATGGTATGGACCTAACAGAAGCAGAAGATATTAAGAGGTGACAAGAACACAGAAGAGCTATACCAAAAAGATCTTCACGACCCAGATAACCACGATGGTGTGATCACTCACCTAAAGCCAGACATCCTGGAATGCAAAGCCAAGAGGGCCTTAGGAAGTGTCACTACGAACAAAGCTACTGGAGGTGATGGAATTCCAGCTGAGCTATTTCAAATCCTAAAAGATGCTGTGAAAATGCTGCACCCAATACGCCAGCAAATTTGACAAAATCAGCAGTGGCCACAGGACTGGAAAAGGTCAGTTTTCATTCCAATCCCAAAGAAGGGCAATGCCAAAGAATGCTGAAACTACTGCACAATTGCACTCATCTCACACACTAGCAAGTAATGCTCAAAATTCTCCAAGCCAGGCTTCAGCAATGCATGAACCATGAACTTCCAAATGTTCAAGCTGAGTTTAGAAAAGGCAGAGGAACCAGAGATCACATTGCCAACATCTGTTGGATCATAGAAAAAGCAAGAGAGTTCCAGAAAAACATCTACTGCTGTCAAAGCCTTTGACTGTATATCACAACAAACTGGAAAATTCTTCAAGGGATGGGAATACCAGGCAACCTGACTTGCCTCCGAATAAATCTGTATGCAGGTCAAGAAGCAACAGTTAGAACTGGACATGGAACAACAGACTGGTTCCAAGTTGGGAAAGGAGTTCATCAAAGCTGTATATTGTCACCCTGCTTATTTAGTTTACATGCAGAGTACATCATGAGAAATGCCAGGCTGGATAAGCACAAGCTGGAATCAAGATTGCCGGGAGAAATATCAATAACCTCAGATACACAGATGACACCACCCTGATGGCAGAAAGTGAAGAGGAAGTAAAGAACCTCTTGATGAAAGTGAAAGATGAGAGTGAAAAAACTGGCTTAAAACTCACCATCTAAAAAAACTAAGATCAAGGCATCCAGTCCCATAACTTCATGCCAAATGCATGGGGAAACAATGGAAACAGTGACAGACTTTATTTCTTGGGCTCCAAAATCACTGCAGATGATGACTACAGCCATGAAATTAAAAGATGTTTGCTCCTTGGAAGAAAAGTTATCCCCAACCTAGACAGCAAATTAAAAAGCAGGAAAAAAAAAAGCAGAGACAGCACTTTTCTGACAAAGGTCCATCTAGTCAAGGCTATGGTTTTTCCAGGAGTCATGCATAGATATGAGAGTTGGACCATAAAGAAAGCTGAGCGCTAGAGAACTGATGCTTTTGAACTGTGGTGTTGGAGAAGACTCTTGAGAGTCCCTTGGACTGCAAGGAGATCCAACCAGTCCATCCTAAAGGAAATCAGTTCTGAGTGTTCATTGAAGGGACTGATGCTGAAACTCCAATACTTGGGCCACCTGGTGCGAATAACTGACTGATTTGAAAAGACCCTGATGCTGGGAAAGATTGAAGGCAGGAGAAGTGGACGACAGAGGACGAGATGGTTGGATGGCATCACCAACTCGATGGACATGAGTTTGAGCATGCTCTGGGTGTTGGTGATGGACAGAGAAGCCTGTCCTGCTGAATTCCATGGGATCACAAAGATTCGGACATGACTGAGCGACTGAACTGAACTGAGATGAGACATTGAACATGTCCTCTAAATTCAGTTGTGCTGGGTGTTTGCCCCTCCAGATTCTTCACCATGGTTCTTCAGCCCTGCACACAGTGGAGACCATTCCTGTAAGGAAAGCAGGAAAAATCACATGGAGTAGTTGGGTGTCATTGGCCACTGCTGGTAAGAAGCACCCCTCAGGCACTTAGCATGGCAATAAAGCAGAGAATAGAAACTCGAAGACAAGTGTGGTTTGAACCAGAGATGAGAAAACTGAACATTGCCAGAATTACATGTTAACATTCCTTTTAAATTTCTGCCAATCTGATGGGTGCAAAGTACTTCATGGTTGCTTTATTTTTCTAATTTTATTCCCAGAGCCAAAGTTGAGCACTTTTCAAGAGCTCATTGGACATATGCTTTTCCCTATTGTATCTTTTTGCCCTGTTGTCTATTGGGTTGGTTATCTTTTTATAACAGAGTTTGAGTGAGCCTGATTGTTAGTTGCTCAGTTGTGTCCAACTCTTTGTGATCCCATGGAATGTAACCCACCAGGCTCCTCCATCCGTGGAATTTTCTAAGCAAGAGTACTGGAGTGGGTGGCCATTTCCTTCTCCAGGGGATCTTCCCAACCCAGGGATCGAACCCGGGTCTCCCGCATTGTGGGCAGGCACTTTACTGTCTGAGCCGCCAGGGAAGCGCAAGTTGTAGAAGAAAAAACAAAGACTGGCGACAGTGGACACGCCCACTAATGGGGATGGTGGCTGAGGCCGCCGGCACACAAGCAATGTAGCTGAGCCATTGGAGAGAGTGAGACCTTCATATATCAACCTGGAAACAAGTTGTTGAGTCATGCTTATAGTATAATCCCATTTTGTTAAAAACAACAAAAATGCATAAATATGAATATGTGTATGAATATCTGTATATGTTTGTATTGTATAGAAAAGTGTGGACATATGTGTTCATTTTAGGGGTTCATTTTAAGTACTTCTGGGGATCTTTTGTGGTCACTGGTGAAGAGGAGGGACAATCATTAGCCTTTGGTTCCTGTTATGCTGGTTTACGGGGCACATGACATTTCTGTCTCGAAGAAACTGTTGTGCTACAACATTTCAAAGTGCAATGGTGGCTATTGGGGAAAAAAATAAAACCTCATGGGCCTTCAGGAGGGGAAAAATGACTTCATGAGACCTCCAGTCAGCCAAGTTCATTTTACTTAACAGTTATTTCTTGTTTCTTTTTGTAATAGAAAGAAACCAAAGGAATGATCTCATTGAAAGTAATTCCCAACCAGCAAAATCGACTTCCGGCACTGCAAGTAGGTGGCAGCATTTTCTCTGTTGCGGTGACAGCAGGATTCAGACCCAGGATGTTCTCAGAATTTGATTGAATGTGTGATTCTAATCAGTGGAGCTGCCTAGTACTCTCTGAGCCAAATTGACACATGTTGCAGACTGGCAGGCCTTTGCTGCATGTCCTGCACATGAGACCAAAGGCCCATCTCCTGATTCTGTGACCCCCGTCACACACAGCGCATCGTGGCTTAGGAGGGAAATCGCTTGGGCAGGGCCCTGGCAGATGAACTTTGACAAAAATCAATCTGAAGTTTCTGTCCCAGGTTACTTAACATGTGATGGTATAATTTTCTTGTCAAGTAAACTTTTTAAGATTGAAGTTTTGGTATATATGGGCACATAGACAACAAAGTACACAAATTTTAAGTATAAAACTAGATGAATTTTCACAAACTTAACACACCTATGTGACCAGCACCCTGAGAGTCCCCATCCCCATTTCCAGTCCGCCAACCCTGACTTCTGACTCCAGAGATGAGTTTTGCCCCTTTTGGGAATTTGTGTAAATTGACTCACACATTACGAATCCTTTAGCATCTCGTTTTGTTCACTGGGTATGAAGTCTCTGCTATAGCAACTGATGATTCTTTCTTTTTTTGTTTGTTTGAATTTTTAAATTTTTTTTTTAATTTTAATCAGAGGCTAATCACTTTACAATATTGTGGTGATTTTTGCCATACATTCACATGAATCAGCCGTGGGTGTACATGTGATTCCTTCTTATTTGCTTCTCATATGAACATGCTCTTGAGGGCCTTCAGCAATTCCAGCTTTTTGGTTCTTAACAAAAAAAAAAAAAAAAAACAGTGCTGCCATGAATCTCAATGTATCTGAGTTTTAGTGCATTTGTGATGAGTTGTGGAGCATGTTCAACTGGTGATATTGTGCAACTGTTTTCCAAGGTAGCTGCACCATTTTCCAGTTCCAGCTCCACCGCATCCTTGCTGAGAATTCTCTGGCATTTCCCCCCTTCCTTTTGGCCATTGTGTTGGTGGTGTTACACTTTGCTGTCTGCTGGGAAGTGGAGTCTTCTCTCATTTTTTAGTCGGCCTGAATTTCATGAATCTTCAGAGAACCAGTGTCGCCTTTCTTGATCCTTTCAACCCTATTTTTTTCTGTTTCATTGCTTTCTGTTCCTTCCTGCTTTCTTTCTTTCTCTGGGTTGGATTTACACCCCTGATATTCCTATCCAAGATAGCTGGTATTAACTTCTAACTTAATAGCTTCTTCCAGTCTTTTTGGCTTCTGTGTATGAAGAAATACGAAATTTCAAGCATAGTAGGTGTTGTTTTTATTTGATAATTTGATAATCAAACACATTTTATTTGCTTGATTTGTTTTGATTTTCTTTAATTGGAAATGATCTTCTTATTTTATGTGATATCAGCAGCAAGACTTGGGGCACATTTATAAAAGTAGCTGCTTTGTACTCCAGAGTGGACAGCTGAGTCCCAGTAACCACACAGCATCTTTGCCTCCCTGCTGTCTAGGCAGTGCAGATCCTGCTTATTTACAGCCAAACTTTCCACTAATGCAGCGCCCCTCGCCTGCTTTTTCAGATGTTCATGCGAGCGCAGTTCGACTATGATCCCAGAAAGGACAACCTGATCCCTTGCAAGGAGGCGGGACTGAAGTTCGTCACAGGGGACGTCATCCAGATCATCAACAAGGATGACAGCAACTGGTGGCAGGGGCGGGTGGAAGGCTCGTCCCAGGAGTCAGCGGGCCTGATCCCCTCCCCTGAGCTGCAGGAATGGTGAGCCACCAATGGACAAGGACCCACGCCTGCCACAGAGAACTGCCCAACTTCTGCAATCTGTCATGCTGTGTATCCTTTCTGTTGCTCAATGAGGCCAACTTCCCAGTTTTCCTAGCAGAATGGACAGGGGGCAGGGGCAATGATGCCCTTACGAGCTTGACTGGCTGTTTTGTGGCTAAAGGAGCCTGACGAGTTCTCCCTGCATCCACGGATCTCTGTGGCCACAAGTGCTTTCCCTAAGCTTACAAAGCAGGCTGTGGCACTGGGACTCAATCCCCCCTCCCCAGTGCCCTTCTGAACCATGATCTTCTGAGTCCTGCAGAAAAAGTGAAAGTGAAGTTGTTCAGTCATGTCCGACTCTTTGCAACCCCATGGACTGTAGCCCACCAGGCTCCTCCATCCACGGGATTATCCAGGCAAGAGGACTAGAGTGGGTGGCCATTGTCTTCTCCAGAGGATCTTCCTGACCCAGGGATCGAACCCAGGCCTCTTACATTGTAGGCAGACTCTGAGTTCTGCTGAGAACAGTCAGATTTTAAGGATGTGTCCTTTATGCACATTTGTGGTACATAGAAAAGGTTATCCCTCTCCCCAAGTTGGATTGCCATTGCTAGCAAAACACCCATAACTTTTCACCAATGTAGAACAGTCGTGAAACTTATTTGGAACCACACACACAAAAAAAAAACAGCCCTGAGTTGCCAATGCAATCTTAAGAAAAAAGAACAAAGCTGGAGTTAGCACAGTCCCTGACTTCAGAGTATACTACAAACCTACAGTCGTCAAAAGAGCATAGTCCTCCACTGCTATGTGGCAGCCTGGATGGGAGGGGAGTTTGGGGGAGAATGGATACACGTATATGGATGGCTGAGTCCCTTTGCTGTCCACCTGAAACTGTCACAACATTGTTAATTGGCTATACCCCAATACCAAATAAAAAGTTAAAAAAATAGCATAGTACTGGCACAAAAACAGACACACAGATCAATGGAATGGAACAGAGAGCCCAGAAATAAACACATGTACTTAACATCAATTAACCTATGACAGAGGAGGTAAGAACATGCAAAGGAGAAAAGACAGTGTCTTCAATAAGTGGTGCTAGGAAAACTGGGATTAAATATGTTATACTCTTTGTTTTTTCTGGCTGTGCCATGTAGCTTGCAGGATCTTAGTTGCTCAACCATGCATTGAACCCACACCCTTGACAGTGAAAGTGGAGAGCTCTAAGCACTGCATTGCCAGGGGAGTCGTTATATTCCATTTAAAGTTATAAAATAATGGCCTTATGTCCCTATACTATATAATACATCCTTGTAGCTTATTTATTTTATACATAGCAGTTTTTATATTGATACCTCTTAATCCTCTACGCCTATATTGCCCCTCCCTCTTCTTTTTCCTCAGTGGTAACCACGAGTTTGTCCTCCATATCTGTGAGTCTGTTCATTTTGTCTCATTCATTCATTTGTTTTATATTTTAGATTTCACATACAAGTGATAACTTAGGGTTTTGTTTTTCTCTGAGTTTTCACTAAGCCTCTAACATGGACTCTCTAGGTCCATCCATGCTATTGTAATTGGCAGAGTTTCATTCTTTTTATTAATGGCTGAGTAATATTCCTCTGTGTGTGTGCGCACGCACATATGTGCATGTTACATCTTCTTTATCTGTTCATCTGTTGGCGGACATGTAGGTTGTTTACACATCTTGGCTATTGTAAATAATGCCTTGAGAGAAAGGGCCGGAGGCAGATGGTTCTAGGGGTTTCATGTAGAGGGACCGCACAGGCAAATGACCCAGGGCTTTTGCACCAAGAAACCACTGATGTCCTCTGTTGTCTCTTCCCTCCAGGCGAGTGGCGAGTGGGGCCCATTCTGCTCCAAGTGAGGCCCCTAGCTGCAGCCCCTTTGGGAAAAAGAAGAAGTACAAAGACAAGTACCTGGCGAAGCACAGTGCAAGTACGCTCCCCGACTTGCCGCTGCTCCTGGTCTCCTGTGACCACATCCCTCTCCCCGGCTCCACACACTCAGGGGATGTGGGAGGAAGGCTGCTCATCATGCTTTCCCCCAGGGATCCACCCTGACCACCTTCCAGACCTTTCTCAATACATCAGCCGACATCAGTCTGACCCAGTGCAGGGTTTGAGCTGCCTCAGACAGTGGCCTGTTTTCCTGAACTAACTCTGCGTTCTTTACCTGCTGTGGGCGCAAGCAGGTTTTAGATAAGAAAGGAAGAATCATCCATGACTAAGCTACTGTCTGTTAAATGCTTCCTTCCTGCCGGGAGCATTTTTGAGAAAGATAGGAACAAATCACAGGACCTGAAAGCACATGCTAGGTCAGGAGTCTCCACGGAGCCGCAGAGGGCAGCTGTGTGACGTGGGAGGCAGCAGGATCAGAGTCAGGATGACACTCACGTCCCCTGAGACAAGGGCCAGTGCAGGTGGTACTGGGGAGATGACAGTGCTAGGGCTGATAGCTGGGGCCAAAAGCTTACAGAAAATTTGAGTGCAAAGAACTGACCCAACAGCTATGTTGAGTTTCAATGGCAGGGGGGATTGGGAAAACCAAGACATAGACCCCAAGGAAGGGCACCCACCATCAAAGGTCAGCCCCACCTGCAGTTATCCCCACCAGTGTCTGAGCCTGTCTGGCTGATCTCAGCCTGCCCAGTTTGCCCAGCTCTGGGATGACCTTGGCTTGCTTTTCTTTGTCCCTAGTTTTTGACCAGTTGGATGTTGTTTCCTACGAGGAAGTGGTTCGGCTGCCCGCGTTCAAGAGGAAGACCCTGGTTCTCATCGGTATCTTCTTGTTGCTTTGCTACTGGACACGACATTTCTGTTTGTGTTCCACTGTCTGCAGGACGTACCCTACCTCCATTGCCTCCCTGCCTGGAGGATGTAACCTACCTCCATGTCTTCTCCCTGTTCTGTTCCTTCAGAAAAAAGTAGGTGGCAGTGAGGAAGAAAAGGAAGCAAGAAGTGTGTCTTGGGCCTCCATATGAAGCAGATTTAAGAGTTTTCTGAGCCCTTACCAGGACTCACCTTGGTTCACGTTGCTAAAGAGGGTAAACCTGATAACGGTTTTCAGCAACTAATTCTTTAAGGTGTTTTATCCATCTGGCCAGCAGTAGGGATGCTCTAGGCCTATGCTTGCGTTCTCCAGAAAAGGATTTAGGGCTCTTTGAAATTGAGCAAGTCCTCCCTGTCTCTAGATCGAAAAGGTTAGTTGGTTAGAGGATCTGTATTAAGGTTCTGTTTAAACTTGTAGGAAAAGCCTGTTCCATTCATTTGGGGGGAGTCTAGGAAGGCAAATAGCCTTTAGAAAGAAACTGAAAATGCCCTGTGGTAGCCAGCTCCTATGTGCCAAAGACAGCTGTGTTCTGAATTGTCATCAGGACACTAGGCCTTGAAACCCTTGATCCTCCTGACCCCAGCCCTTCAGAAGCCCATGCACTTTGCTTTGACCCGTCACTGATCGTGGGCTCTGAGAGATGAAAACCCAAGTGTTAATCCTCTTTCTAGCCCTGTCTTTGTTTCTGGGGAAAGAAACGGAAGCATTGATCTGCATGCCCGTCTCTTCTGTCCACGCAGGAGCCAGCGGGGTGGGCCGCAGCCACATCAAGAGTGCCCTGCTCAGCCAGAACCCGGACAAGTTCTCATACCCTGCCCCGTGTGAGTAGCTCAGGGTCCTGAGGGCCGTGGTTCCATAGTGGTCTATCTTTCTGTGATTTTTTTTTTTTCCTTCTTGACCATGCCACATAGCCGGGGCTATCCCAATCTCCCTGGCCAGGGACTGAACCCACGGTTTGGCAGCAAAGACATAGAGCCCTAACCACTAGACAGCCAGGGAGGTCCCTTCTTTGTGATTTTTTCCCCCCAAATGTTTGATGATCAAAAGAAAAGATCATTTGGAAAGATACAAATTTGTCCCCAGAGTTGCTGCAACTAACAAAGTAGTTATGCCGTTGGTCTGCATGAGAGACATAGTGGCACTTAGGGTCATTCAATAACTTAAAATGCAAACTGAGTTCGCAAGAGTGGGTGAAAGGTAAGGAGAAGTTGGGTCAAAGAAGGGAGACTTTCAGTGTGCTTCACAGAAATCCAGACTATAGCCTGTGATCGGTTTTATTTATTTATTTTTTAATTTTTTCACGACACTGCATGGCACGTGGGATCTTAGTTCCCTGACTAGGGTTCAAACGTGTGCCCCAGCCTGCATTGGAGGGTGGAGTCTTAACCACTGGACCACCTGTGAAGTCTCTGCGGACCTGCTTTGCAAAGATTTCTAGCTTCTCTGCCCCTGGGGTTGGTGTTGGAGAGAGGCAACTTTATGACGCCAGGAGGATGGGCGCTCACTCTGGAGCATTTAAATGTGTTCCCAGCCCACTTCATTTTCTTGAGTCAGGCCCTGAGGGTCCTGAATAAGAAAGTGAAGTCGCTCAGTCGTATCCAACTCTTGGTGACCCCTGTGAACCATAGCCCACCCGGTTCCTCCATCCATGGAATTTTCTAAGCAAGAGTACTGGAGTGGGTGGCCATTGCCTTCTCCAGGGGATCTTCTGGACCCAGGGATTGAACCCGTGTCTCTCATGTTGTGGGTAGATGTTGTTCCATCTGAGCCACCAGGGAATCCCTTAGAAGATTCCCTGAATCAGAAGCCCCTGCACTAAAAGCAGCTGGGGTGGCAATGGCGATGCCAGGGTCTGCACCCCCGGGAGCCATGGAGGGGGGCCCCTGAGTGGCTCAGGGGTTGATCAGGGTTCTCGGGGTGCAGATACAACACGGCCGGCCAGGAAGAGTGAAGAAGATGGCAAGGAATATCACTTCATCTCTACGGAGGAGATGACACGGAGCATCTCCGCCAATGAGTTCTTGGAGTTTGGCAGCTACCAGGGCAACATGTTCGGCACCAAGTTCGAGACTGTGCACCAGATTCACAAGCAGGACAAGGTCGCCATCCTGGACATCGAGCCTCAGGTGGGTCGGCAGGGAAGACCAGAGTAGATGGGAGCGGGGTGCTGAAGAGCACAGCTCCGGGGAACCTGCAGGGCATGCACCCCGGCTTCACGGGCTGTCACTGGGGTCACCAGGAGGAAGAGCTGGTCCAGCCGTGCTGGAGACAGTCCTGGCCTTGGCAAGGCCCTAAGATGCCGATTGCCAGGGGTCTGCTTTGACCGCTGACTCTTTTTCCCCTCTCTTCTCCCTCCTTCCACTCCATTTTCCCAGACCCTGAAGATCGTTCGGACAGCAGAACTTTCACCTTTCATTGTGTTCATCGCACCCACTGACCAAGGCACTCAGGTGGGAATGTAGGGTCTGTGCAGGGGGGCGGGAGACCTGACAGATGGTTGGCAGGGTGCTGGCAGAGCTCAACGTCTTGGCTACTGCTGTCTTGCTGCCCTTGAGGCCAAGAGGACAGAGTACATGCGTCCAGCCTGTTCAGTTCAATTTAGTTCAGTCACTCAGTCGTGTCTGACTCTTTGCAACCCCATGGACTGCAGCACGCCAGTCCTCTCTGTCCAATCACCAACTCCCGGAGTCTACCCAAACTCCTGTCCATCGAGTCGATGATGCCATCCAACCATCTCATCCTCTGTCTTCCCCTTCTCCTCCCACCTTCAGTCTTCCCCAGCATCAGGGTCTTTTACAATGAGTCATCTCTTTGCATCAGGTGGCCAAAGTATTGGCGTTTCTGTTCAGTGGGGAGTTGTTAACCCACTAACCAGGCCATTGTTCCAGAATCACAGGGATGGGTGGTGGGCTTAAGAGGGGCAAATGTGGGGGACAGGGACCCTGAACATATGTGGCCTTAGGCCCACAGGAGGCATGCTGTGGGGAGGGGGGACCATATAGAGAAGCCTCCCAGCTCCCTAGGGCCGATGAGCTCCAAACCCCGCTGCAGACACTTTGCTTTTCATCGAATGCATCTGTGGAGACCTTCCTGGGCCTTTCTCAGGAGCTGTGGTCTCCCATCTTGTGGATTTAGCAGAATTATTTAGTTCCCTAGGGATTCCCTGGCGGCTCAGACAGTAAAGCGTCTGCCCGCAATGCAGGAGACCCGGGTTTGATCGCTGGGTCCGGAAGATCCCCTGGAGAAGGCAATGACCACCCACTCCAGTACTCTTGCCTAGAAAATTCCATGGATGGAGGAGCTTCGTGGGCTACAGTCCATGGGGTCGCAAAGAGTCAGACACGAGTGAGTGACTTCACTTTAGTTCCCTCACTGCCTTCTTGATGGATGTTTAGGTTTAAAACTTTTAATAGCATCAGTATGACAATCCATGATTCTGTGCGTGTGCCTCCCATGTGCAAATCTGTCTGTGGGAGATTGCAGGCAGGGTCGTGTTGGGAATTTTGGATGTGGCAGGAGACTTGCCCCCCTGTTTCAGGAGCATATCCTGCAATTTCATCTTTGGAGTCTGCTGAATGGGGAAGTGGAATCTCATTGAACTTGAGTGCTTGACTGAAAGCAGTAAAGCATCTTGTCTAGACTCCCGAGGGCCAAGTCTGTCCATTTTTCTCTGAACTACCTGGTCAGCTCCTGAGCTTATTTTTGTTCGGTCACTGGCCTTATTAATTTCTGGGATCTCTGTGTGAGGGTCATTAGCCCTTAATAGTATCAATTGCAACCCCCCCCCAATCTCAATTTGGCCTTTTAGTGTTTATTGGGCTTTCCTGGTGGCTCAACTGGGAAAGAATCCGCCCGCAATGCGGGAAACCTGGGTTCGATCCCTGGGCTGGGAAGATCCCCTGGAGAAGGGAAAGACTACCCACTCCAGTATTCTGGCCTGGAGAATTCCACGGACTGTGTAGTCCATGGGGTCGCCAAGTGTCCCACACGACTGAGCAACTTGCACTTTGCCTTTCACTTTCGTGTTTATTGCTACCAAGACGTCTTCAGGGAACACCTCTCCACACCCCAGCCCCTTAACATTCTCAGGCAAGGACTTCAGGGTTTTAGGCTTTTTTTTTTTTTTTCAGTGAAGTGAAGGTCACTCAGTCGTATCTGACTCTTTACGATACCATGGACTGTAGCTCACCAGGCTCCTCCGTCCATGGGATTTCCCAGGCAAGAATACTGGAGTGGGTTGTCATTTCCTTCTCCAGGGGATCTTCCTGATCCAGGGATTGAACCAGAGTCTCCTGCATTGCAGGCAGATTATTTACCATCTAAGCCACCAGGGAAGCCTTTAGGCTTTTCAGCATGTGATTCAAAGTTGGGTGGTGGGCACGACGATCAAGTGGTGGGCAGGCCTCCACTTGAACCGTCCTGGGCGTCCCAGGCAGGGCTCATGCAGCCTGCTCCATCCGTTGGCCTCCCCCTTCTCTCCTCCACAGACGGACGCCCTGCAGCAGCTGCAGAAGGACTCGGAGGCCATCCGCAGCCAGTATGCGCACTACTTTGACCTCTCACTGGTCCATAACAGCGTTGAGGAAACCCTGAAGACATTGGAAGAAGCCTTTGACCTGGTGTGCCGTTCCCCCCAGTGGGTGCCTGTCTCCTGGGTTTACTAAGCTTTGCACCATAGTGGGCAGCAACCGGGGGCCCCTGTCCAGCCTTTGGAAGTCCACCCCACCTTGCTAAGACCACAGGCTCGCTAGCTTTGTGTCAGCTTCCAGCTCTCTGCAACTCTCCTCCTCATGAGGCCGGTGGGTGTCTTGTCTTCTTCACATTTCTGAAGGGCTGGGCTGATTTCCCCATGGAGCAGGATTTCCAAAGGATCCCTGTGCATTGAGGGCCAGAAGCACTCGGCCAAGGCAGCTGCTGATCACAGCTGGTGCCCACAGGAAGGAAAAGCAATGGACCCCAGCCCTCTGAAGCCTGCACCCCTTTTACCTTCGGCCACACCGGGCATTTCATGTGTCTTTGATTTGAAGAGAGCATTTGTCACTGCGAGTTTCTACCCTACCAAATCAAACAGCTGTGCAATAGGATGGGTCTGCTCTAGGGAAACCCTCAAAAGCAATAAAGATATTGCTGTGTTAAAATGCCAGTGAGCTTGCGCCTTTTAACTCTGGTTCCCAGCCGTGCCCCAAGCCCCTGGGGTGTGGAGATGCCTCTCCCGTGTTCTGAAGTCTCTCTCAAGCTTGCGATGACCTTAAGCCTGGACGTCAGGCTCAACCGCATTTCTGGGCGCAGGTGGCGGTGTCTACGTGCACGTGAACATACAAAGACATGCTGGGAGCCAAGGTGTAAGGGGACTGACTCTCCATGCTGCTCCAGGGGTGAGTGCTCTGAACTGATTTGCTTCCACTTGCTTTGGACTTGATTTTGATACACATACCAGATCTTTTTTCCTCCAGAAAGCTACTCCCTCTTAGCTTACTCTTGCATTCTGGACACCCAGACCGACTGCCCAGGTGAAGGTAACTCAGAATAAACTCCTCCATTGGCTACCAGAAACACAGGTGCAGCTGTGCCCTCAAGACTCACCTGAGGCTTGTGTCCATGTACAGGCACCCGAGTGTCTTACCCTGGATGGGAACCCACCATGGGTGCTTCCTGGAGGCGTTATGTCCTGGCATACCTAGGGCAGGGAAAAGCCAGCCGTGGGCTGGTGTGTCCAGGTGGCTCTCAAGGGTCCCGGGCAGTGGAGGCCACCAGAAACCATCACTGGGAATGTGGCCCTGACCCTCACTGCATTCGCACTCCCCTCCCCACCACTCCGCATAGTTTTTGGTTCCAAATCACCTCCCCAGCCATCAGCACAAGCTTTGGCGTTTCCTGGCGTGGATGTCTGAGCCCAGATGTGTCTGCAGGTGCCTAAACGACCCCTTGTCCCCCACCTCCTGCCTGCAACAAACACGGAGAACCTTTCTCTTCTCTGTGATTGTGGAGATCACCAAATTTGGGAAGGTTCTTCGGTTATTTCATGTCTTGAAGATGCCAGAGTATCTGATCCCACACCAGGCCCCAAGGGAAATGTTACCAGACAAAGAAAAAAGGTAACCACACATACAGGAAAAGCACCACATTTCCACTAGGACATAAACACCTCTACAGTTTTAATTGCCATGTCTTTTTGTTGTTGTTGTTGTTCTGCTAACTTGTAGATCAACAATTAGAAAAATCCAACAGGAATACTTAAAAAACCAGAAGGAGATTTAATCAGTAAAAATTACAACCTTCTCCCAGCAGGGAAAGGAATGGAGGGGTAAAACAAAGCCTGGAGGAATGGTTTTTTTTTTGGGGGGGGGGGGCTGAGCTCACAAACACAACTAGCCAGGTGGAGTCAGGTGCCTGAGGTGGTGTGTATATGTACGAGCTGTGAAGTGTACACAGGGGAGGGCATGGAAAGAGTGCACAAGACAAGCGTGTCAGAGCTCTCAGCCAGGCCTCCACCTGGAAAGGAAATCCAGGTGACCGAGGGAACTCTTGACACGAGAATAGACCGCTGTCCTCAGCACGTTGGCAAAAAAATATTATTCCCTCAATAACATGGTTCAGTTCTATTTTTCTTTTTTCACTTGCTCTAGAACATTTTGTGGAACAGCATTTTTTTGTTTACAAACTTGTTAGATGAGGGAAGTGAGAAGCCAACTGGGAGAGGCCCAATATGGTCGGCTGGCCCCGGGAAACAGCCATGGGTGGGCACTGGGTCTACATGGGAGGTGCTGTGAGTCTCCTGGGCGGAGCAGCGTACAGTGCCCAGTCCGCTGCCTTCACCAGGGTCCTTACAACAGGACGAGATGGGGCAGCGATGCCAGGGGGCGTTGGTGAGGGCTCTGTGAGCTGCTCCCACATGCTGGCCTCTCCACCTTTCTGGGGACCTCGGGTCCCCTCCCTTGAGGACCAACGGAGCTCCAGGTTCACAATAAGGCTTTGATGGCTCCTCCCACCTGGACACTGTGCCACATGTCGCCCTTACTCGGAGACCATTTCCGCTTTGATTTTCTTTTTCTTCTTTTTCTTCTTGGTGCTGTCACTATCCTGGGAGGAAAAGCAAGCAAGCAAGCATCTCATAAGCACCGCCACTTTCCCAATCCCACCCCATCGGGGTCACCAGGAGGTGATGCTCATGGCTCGGATGTCCTGGGTGACCTCAATCTTGTGCATCACCGTCTTGAGATTTTCACTGATGCCTTCGCCTTGACACTCCCCAGCTCCACAGCCTCCCAACCCATCATGCACAGAATCCTAACTGAGCCAATTCTAGGAAACCTGGGCCCATCCCATCCTCCCTACTGGGCAGTGGGCAATGCCTTCCCCTCTCAGGAACCCAAGTCCTGGGCCCGCCTGCACACACCCCAGTTCCTGGCTCCTCCGTACTATCCACAGCAGCTTTGGCCTTCTCCTTCTTTTTCTTCTTCTTTTCCTTCTTGACCACCTGTGGAGCCACCGGGGACGTGTCCTCACTCTCACTCTCTCGCTTCCGCTAAGGTGGAGACCACAGATGGCATGTTAAATCCAGATCAACATGGACAAGAACGTTTTCAGTGAGTCACAGAAGGTGGGGAGCCAGCCCGCCAATAAGATCCTGATGGGATCCAACAGGAAATTTGCAAAAACCCCCGACAGGGCCTGGTTTACCAGGCTTTCAGAGACTGTCATGCCTGAAGGCCAGGAAGCCAGGGGCACTGCCAGAGTGCCAGGGCAACACAGAAAGGCCGCCTCCTCCCTAGGCTGCTCCCAGGAGGCCTCAGAGGGGGCAGATGGGTCAGGAACCCCACCTGCCAGGTTCCACAGCAGGCCCTTTTCAGGACATTCGGTGCCACCCACAGTAACAGACAAGCTACCATGCCACCTGATGCCAGCGGCCCCCAGCCCTGAAGCCACCACATGCACAGGTGTTCGCTGGCCTTCTGCCAAGTTCCACCTGGCCCCAAGTGTCCCTATCTTGATTCCAACACACTCCTGCCACCCGTCAACCCCACTGTTTCACGGCTGTGGCCTGAGCTCAGCCAGTAGCCCAGGCCAATCTAACCCCCAGGCCCACAGACCACCCCCGCAAGCAGACACAACAAACCAGCAGCTGGTGGGGCTGGTGGTTGTGTTCCAAAGCCAACGCGGCACACCACTCACCTTTGGGGTTTTTACCACCTCAGCAACAACCGGCGTGGCTTTGACCACTTTGGCTGGCACATCTTTCTTGGCAGAATCGCTATGAGAGGAGCAGAAGCAAAGGGTGAGGGTTGCGGACATGCTGTCCTCAGAGGCCCGGCTGCACAAAGGCATATATGGCCAGTCGAAAGCCACCGTCAGAATACTGATGCTGGACAGAAGAGCTCACCACTGCCACTTGCAACCTGACCCCATCTAAAGTCCCACAAGCCAGGCTGGCAAGGGGCAACCATCGGCTGTGCGGGGCCCAATGCCCTGACTCACCCGGGGCAGCCGGGGTTCAACGCCAGCCCCAAGGCGAGTCCTAATAGCCCTGCCCCGAGTATGTTTCCTCCATATCTGGCTCCGTACTCATTGGAAGGACTGATGTTGAAGCTGAAACTCCCAACACTCTGGCCACCTGATGTGAACAGCTGACTCATTTGAAAAGACCCTGATGCTGGGAAAGATTGAAGGCAGGAGAAGTGGACGACAGAGGATGAGATGGTTGAATGGCACCACCAACTCAATGGACATGAGTTTCAGCAAGCTTCGGGAGTTGGTGATGGACAGGGAGGCCTGGCGTGCTGCAGTCCATGGGTCTGCAAAGAGTCACACATGACTGAGCAACTGAACTAAGTTGAGTTCCTCACCAGAGTGGCTGGGAGGCAGCATCCAGTACTAGGAACTCCAGGCCCTTCCCTCTTCCCCTGCCGTCAAGGGAGCCCGGCATCCAGGCAGGCCCCCTCTCCACTGCGGGGCTGGCTGACAGCCGCCCTCACCTGTAGTCGACGTACTCTTGCGTCCAGGTGGCAGGCGTGCTATCGGTCGGTTTGCCGTGCTTGTCCAAAAGGCCCTGCTTGATCATCAGCTTCTTCTGACTCGCCTGGAGGACGGGCAGGGTGTCCAGGTTACAACAGTATTGACACAAAGCAGGTCTCATAACCACACACACACACACAGAGCAGAGTACTCGGAACTCACCCTCTCTTCCAGGTTACAACAGTATTGACACAAAGCAGGTCTCATAACCACACACACACACACACACACACAGCACAGTACTCGGAACTCACCCTCTCTTCCACGGGTGCAGACATGGGACTTTCAAAGGGATTGCTGTATTCCTGGGAGCCTCTGTGGTCTCATTTGTACCACCTGCCATTCCAGCGGCCCCAGACGCTTCCCTCCCCGCTTCATCTCAACATGTCACACCATATATTTCCACTGGCATGGCTCAAGCAGAGATCCCCTGCCCCAACTCCCTGACCAGGCCAAAGCCCTCACGGTGGACTCGAGGTGCCAGGGACCTTGCCACACCCCTTCACAGGGCCCTCAACTATGCTGAAAGTCACCATCCCGTGGTGCAAGTGGACTGAGGTCCACCTATGGTCCCCTTAGCCTAAATATCGTCAGGTCCAAGTGAGGCACATTTCCAACCAGCACCAACTTCCCAGAGCCCGGCACAACGCCAGCACATGGCAGTGAAGACATACCAAGAGCTACTCGAGTATTCAACAAAGCAAAATACAATGCTGCACAGGGCACAGGCCCAGTCCCACTTACTTACTTTCGGCCCTAAACCCCACTTCCGAGGGTAAGTGTCTCTCTCCATGATAACTCTCTTGATCTTGGCTACAATGCCATGGTCACAGGTGGAGATCACTGCTGTGGTCATCAAAGCAATCGCTGCAGGTGTTGGAAAGAGATAGAAGGAAAGACTTGATAACCAATGAGGCCAAATGCCACCATTTTATACAAGTTTTACAAATTTCTTGAAAACTTCTAAGCTTGGACTTCCCTGGTGGTCCAGTGGTGAAGAATTCACCTTCCAATACACAGGACACAGGTTCAATTCAAAGTTGGGGAACTCAGATCCCACATGCTACAGGGCACCTACGCCGGGGTGCCACAGTGAGACCACGCACAACTGGAGAGAAGCCTGCACAGCACAATGAAAGATCCTGTGTGCCGCCACTAACACCCAACACAGCCAAACAGATAGATGCTTTTTTAAAAAATAATCTAATGGTTGAAATAAAACTCTTAAGCTCTACTGCCTTGAGGTTTCCATTGCGGAGAGGTGCATATGGAGAAAATCCACCATCACGGGAAAGCAGCCTGTGAAATCACGTTCCACTTATCAAGTGCAAAAAAATACTGATACTGATCACTCATCAAAATCTATGCTTTGGACGTCCTCAGATGAGACTGTTTAAAAAGTATTCGACTGGCCAAAAAGTTTATGTTTTTCAGTTACATGTCTCAGAAAAATCCAAATCCATTTTTTTGGCCAGGCAGATACATCCAAAGCTCATTGTTTAATGTGCATTATTTACACCAGGAATAAAGTGTGTCATCAGGATCCCTTTCTAGCTGTGCACAATCAAGGTGGCCAGAGTGGCCAGCAGCCAGAGGGGAAGGGCCACCTCGATATCGAACCCCAAAGACATACACGTCATGCTTGGAGCTCAGACAGGGATAATCCAACAGTAGCTAAAGTTGAGCAAGTTAGCGTTGCAGAGAGAGGGAGCGGACTGAAGGCTCCTCAGTTACCACCTTTACTCCCCATCAGTTGATGATTTCTTCTCTCACTGGAGAGCTAAACCGCTGAGACAGGGTGCCTAATAGCAGCTGGCAGGACAAGAGGGAACCCCGCTGACCCCTCCTCACCCATGCCCTGTCCAAACTGGACCTTTCTGCTGAGACCACCTCACAGACCCCAAGGAACACAGGGATTCATTCAGTCACTCCACGAGGCCAGGCCTTGGGCACCCCCTCTGAGGGAGCCTGGCTGTGACGGTGCAGAGCAGACAGGGGTTGCTTGCCTCTTACCCATGCAGATGGCCTCCCCTTTGGTGGTGATGACCACAATCTCCTGATTGACCTCAATGCCGTCCTCGTAGCGCAAGACGCCTGGAAGCATGATCTTTGCCCCGTAGCAGATGGCATTCACCTGGCAGGATGGCAGCCCCATGAGTGCCCCCGTCACAAGGCAGCCCTGCCCTCTGCCCCACCCCCCACTGGACCAGAGGGGGTTGGGGGGATCAGCAAGGACCCGCTACCCATGCCAGAGGCCCGACGGCATCCACAGGCCACTGTGCAGCTTTGATCACAGCCACCACCCGCCACCCACCACAGGTTGACTCAGAAACAAAACCACGGCTGGAAGTCGCTACTCCTGTCCAGAGTTTACCTATTCCCTATTCCTCAGCATTGGAGAAGGCAATGGCAGCCCACTCCAGTACTCTTGCCTGGAAAATCCCATGGACGGAGGAGCCTGGTAGGCTGCAGTCCATGGGGTCGCGAAGAGTCACACATGACTGAGCGACTTCACTTTCACTTTTCACTTTCCTGCATTGGAGAAGGTAATGGCAACCCACTCCACTGTTCTTGCCTGAAGAATCCCAGGGACAGGGTCGCAGAGTCGGACACGGGACACGACTGAAGTGACTTAGCAGCAGTTGCAGCAGTATTCCTCAGCATGAAGGGAAAACACCCTGACAGAGCTAGGTAATAACTACCTTCCCAGGTAATATTCCTACATGATAATTACATCCCCAACGGAATGCACAAGCAAGACTGCCAAGGCCCAATGAACCAAGCCTGCACGTGTTGACATGTCCTTTACGGACCCAGAGATACACGTCAAGGCCAACTCTCCCTGAGTCTGCCCACACTTGAGGCGTCCAATCCACCCTGAGGGAATCTTGTCTTCACTCGCCATATTTCTCCCCTCCCTTGAAACTCCCCCAGAAGCCACTAATTTGACCCTAGCAAAAGGGAATCACACTCACGTTGTCTTGTGTGTTGTTTTCTCAATCATTATAGGGGCAGACAGTGGTATGCCTCTTCAGTTTTTTGTCTTTTATTATAAACTAACATCTATACAATCAAACATGTATATAGTTTAAGATCTGAGTATGAATGAACAAGCTCAAATTATTAAATATATAAACGATTACTTTCTATGAGATTATTTAGTATGCATACTAAGAAAAAGGCTTGATAATCTCCACCATGTTTAGGTTTTATGGCCTCAAATTGGGATTTATTTCAACAAAGCTCTAAATGGAGATTCTGAAAGGAGAACTAGCCAACTCTCTAATCTCAATCTTTTATCCCCATCAATACAACTTTTTCTAGCAATGTTTAAAAAAAACCCAAGGTGTCTTAGGCACATGTAAAACTACCAGTTTACAGAAGATCAAATTTTATGTACCACTAAAAGTCTATTTCTTGGACCAAGTTACTTTAAATGTTTGATGGAATTAGGCCCAGTAAACTTTTACTTTATATTTGGTTTTCACTTAATAAAGTTAATCATAAATGCTTCCATTAACAAAAATAAATTAATCCGGGTCCAATATACAAAACCAGAAAAAAAGAAAACAAGCCCCAAGGAAAATAGTGGTTGTGAGATCACAAAATCCTATTTTCTCTCTTTAAATAGAATGAAATTTTTAGGCCACGGACCACATCTCCTCTCTTGAGCTCCCATTTTGTGCAAATAGAACTTACTGCACTGTCTTTCATGACCAGCCGTTTATGAGACGTCAACAGCTTTTCCAAAGGGTAAACAACTCGCCGCAGGTAACTCTCATCCTTGTGGTTGTCATACAGCCATTGGGCATCAAGCACGTCATGCATCGTCACCATGTGGTCCTGGGAAGTAGCCGCGCATGAAAATTAATCAAGGGCCATTGTACCCCCAATAGGCAAATGGACCTCACACTTCCAAACACTGAATCAGTTTTGTCTCATCTGCTAGTCCAAGCTCATTAGTCTTTAGTCTGTTTGCAGTCACCTCTGTAACTGGTGGTCTAGTAAACCTAAGCAGGCATATCTGTAGGCTAGGGAGTAAATGAATAGACAGTCTCCATCCACACACACCCCAGTCTGTGTTTTAATGTCCCAAAGTTTAATTAACAGAACAGGGAAGCTGCCCTGGACTGAACTCAACACTTTGGGAACTGCCTTTTCTGGGATGGGAAGTAGGTGGAGTTCCACCAAGGGCTGGAAGATCTAAGTATCAGTCAGCTTTAAGAAAAACAACAACTCCCACCAATGACATACCTTTTCACTCATGACTCCAGAACGAACCCTCCGGAGTTCCTGCATCTGACCACCAACTCCCAACAACAAACCAAGGTGAACACACAGCGTCCGAATATAAGTGCCAGCCTCACAACTCACCCAGAAGATTCCTAAAACACACACACACACAAAAGTAGCACATATTTTCCTAGTAAGTAAACACATGAAAGAAAGAAGACAAAGTGAAGCCGCTCAGTCATGTCCAACTCTTTGCAACCCCATGGACTGTAACCCACCAGGCTCCTCCATCCATGGAATTTTCTAGGCAAGAGTACTGGACTGGGTGGCCATTGCCTTCTCCAGGGGATCTTCCTGACCCAGGGACTGAACCTCCCATGTTGTGGGCAGAAATGCTTTACCGTCTGAGCCACCAGGGAATCCCTTAGGAGAAAGATATTGAGTATGTTTGCTGTAATTCTTTCTTTATGGATACCTGTTATCAGGTTGAGGAATTATTCTTCTATGCTTAACTCATTGAATAGTTTATTATTATAAAAGGGTGGGTTTCCCTGGGGGCTCAGACGGTAAAGTGTCTGCCTGCAATGCGGGAGACCTGGGTTCGATCCCTGGCTCGGGAAAATCCCCTGGAGAAGGCAATGGCCACCCAGTCCAGTACTCTTGCCTAGAAAATTCCATGGATGGAGGAGCCTGGTGGGCTACAGTCCATGGGGTCGCAAAGAGTCAGACATGATTGAGTGACTTCACTTTCTTTCTTTAAAAACACATGACCAGGTGAGAAACCCAGTTATTTTCTACCTGCAGCAGCGAAACTGGAGATGACACAGGCCACAACTACCCCATATGCTCAAGGCAGCTACTTTTACCAGACTCTGATTTTGGAAAATTCATTCAACACCAGAGTGCTCTGTGTCAGCTCGGTGCCCCACAAGCCTGAGGACCCACCTAATCGTCTTTCGGGGTCATACTCAATCATTTTGCTCTCGTAGATGGTTCTGACTCGGAGTTGCCTCTTTACTGCAGCAATAAGTGGGGGTCGTTGGAATAAGGCACCTGTCAGGGTTTCTAGGGCCTAGGAAGAAACACAAACAAAACTGCTCTTACTGCATGGACTCTCAAAGACGATCAAAGGGCAGATGTGGAGAGTTTAAGGGCACAAGTGACATGCAGAAGGTCTCCTGCAATCACTAAAAGTGCCTTTCAATTTTTGATTCCTTGTGCAACTCCACATGGGTGGCTCAAGCCTCTCCTCAGAAGGGACATGAGCAAAAGTGTCTCTGCCATCTGCAGTCACCTGCCCAGGTTGGCCCAGTGGCTCAGGTGGCTTCCCTCCAATGACAGACTTACCCTGGAAAGCTGAGTCCCCCCTTCAATAGCATTGTGCAGCCGGACAATCCCCACATACTCTTTGCCTGTAAAATGACAAGAGTAGTCAGGTGTGGCCACTGAGTTTGCTGTTATTTCACATATGCTTGTATCACTTGTAATCTGGTGCAGCCAGGGAAAACAGGCAAATTTCTATCAAATTTGCAGGAAGAAAGATTTCAGGGTGCAGATGTAGGAAAGGAACGAGGACCCTAATGTCACAGGTTCAACTCTCAACGTGCTGAGGACAAGAATACCTGTGGACAGCCTGCCTGGAGGGCACCTTGCAAGGCCAAGGAGAATTTTCCCTGATGACAACGAGGAAGCATTATTTTAGGCAGAAGCTGCAGGGTATTTCAAGGAGCCTGAAGTGACAGGCCTGCAGTCGGACTAGGACTCAGATCTGCCTCAGGGCTAGAAGCAGATCCACTTGGCTCCACGTGCTTGTCAAAAGCACCCAGAACACCCAACAAGGCAGCCTCATCAGGATCTGGCAGAAGACAGAAGGCACCTACCAAGCCAGAGTATCCCTTGCTTCTGGGTTTTTTTTTTTTTTTTTTGGTTTGTAAGATTTTACCAATGAAGAAATCACTTCTGAAAGCCACATGCAGAAGGGCAAGGAAACACAGAAAGCCTTCCCACCTTCAAGTTGCCCCGTCGTTCCTCCCGCTCTGATTTACCTGCGCTCTGCTGTGATTTCACCAAGCGAGTGGCTCGTTCGATGCACACTATTAAACAACCAGTCACCTTGGGATCCAGGGTTCCACTGTGTCCCGTCTTCTCGACCCGAAGTATTCGCCGGATCCAGGCTACCACCTCATGGGAAGAGGGGTTGGAGGGCTTGTCAAGGTTAATGAAACCTGTCCTAGATTGGGAAAGAAATTACTGGGTCATCAACTCTGGGCCTCGGATGAAAACTAAATTTGCAGAGTAAAAACCAAGTGCTGACCATGGGCACAGGTTATCATATATATTGAGGGCATGTCACCACCTCCTTGAATAACCGATGTGAAATGGTCATTGTGCAAAGAAGTGGGAACAGTGCTTGCTCCCAACACGCTTACCTGATGTAGTCCCCAATCTCCCTCTTCAGAGGATTTGAACCACAAGGAAGAGGTGTGTAATGTGTTGTCCTTACATTTAGCTTATCAAAATTCTAGAAAGCAACGATACAACACAAAATAAGCAATAAATCACTAACATGTGGAAAATTAAGTCAGGACCACTACGAACCATGATAAGGTGACCCTTTGGGTTCCTGATTCGGATCTTGCTCCTGTATTTCCATTATTTGCTGTGACAGACTGCTAAGCCCCACTACATGCTGGAAAAATTATCCAAGAAGACGACAAATTTGCTCCCTCCTCCAGAAAGGCCTCCTGGGGTACTACAGAACAAACATGGCTTCACTGTACAGGCACAGGCTTATGAGTAAAATACGGACTAGCTTTGATTTTCTCAGGGACCAAAGATAGCCAGATGGAGGATGACTGGCAACATGGTTCCTCACACCTAACCAGCTCACTCCTGCCTTCGACACTCCCATTCCACTCCTTATATCTGCTTCTCCTCGCTCTTTCCAAGCTTCCACCACCAGTCTGAAAACGCTCCCCTCAGTGCAAGTTCATTAGCTTCATGTTGGTACTTCCCACTAGCAGGAATTATTTTTAACTGCCTGTATCTCCCACCTCTAGATTTTACATTCCATGATGGTAGGACTAATTGCCAACATGGTTTATTGGCAGGTAAAAACAAGAGAACCAGATACTATCTAAATGGCAGACACATCTGGCCAAGCAGAAATTCAACTGCATTGAATTATATAAACAAATCTCATCTTTTACCTCCTGTTTAGTGGTTGATTCAAATTTTCTAGGCAAGAATACTGGAGTGGGTGGCCATTTCCTTCTCCAGGGGATCTTCCAGACCCAGGGATCAAACCCAGGCATCTCCCACATTGCAGGCAGATATTTTACTGTCTGAGCCACTAGGGAATCCTGTCTTTCAGTAAACTTACCTCTTAATCTCATAGCTAGCACCCATTATGTCAGTAACAAAATTTTAATTCTATTCATCACTTAACTACTTTAAGAAAAACACAGCAGTCAATGACTTCTAGAGTACGTGATACATGCTGGGCACTTTGGCATGTTTCATGGATCACCTCCTACAACCCTCAGTGGGCCTTCTGAAAGGAGGTATCATTTGCCAAGAGCCTCAGAGAGATCAAGATTAGCCTAATGTCACACTGTGCCTGACCCAAATGGGTCTAGCATCGAAATATATGCTGTAAAGTATGTACTACTCCACAAACCAGTAAATGTCTGTAAAGTGAAGCTAAGTACAGAAATTGAGAGTTGTTTATAAAATTTGATAGTAGTCTCACATTGTTGCAAAATTTACCTGTATTCCACAAGTGTTGGGTACACTGGAAATTAATTAAAAAAATAATAAAACTCAGGTCTTCATCTCAACTACCTTGAGGAACATTGATTTAGGCAGCCTCACCTAGCCTTGCCTAAGTCCAGGATCCATTCTTAATCAACTGTTTAATACTCAGAAACAGTGTAAAAGCCAGACTTTGAGCTGATGCAAAACACATACCTTTAGCAACAGGGGCCACTGAGATGTGTCCAACTGAGCCACTTTGGATTCAGGTTTGATGAGAAATTCTTCAGCATGTTGTATTTCCTTCCAGAGGACAGAAACACAACCTGTTAAGACTCCCCACTTGAATCTGAACCCTTCCATTATGACTACCAAAGTCTACACCTGTGCAATAAGAAACAAAGTGTCTATGCCTTTTCACTGAGATCTCCAAAGGAAAGAGAAGAAATAAATGAAGAACTGAAAAATAAGTTAAGTGGCACCAAGATGGGAATAGCCAATTTAAGCGAAAAGAGGGATAGTGGGTCTGATAAGAAAGACAATTTCAGGGAAAGCAGTCACTGTGGGCAACACCATTTAGCAAAGTGTGCCTGACAGCAGGGAGACCTAGGCTGGATGGAGCTTTGTAGTTTCTATCGCAGGACCGCACGCGATAACACCCCATTCCTTCCAAATCTTTAGAAACAGTTCTTTTCTGCAATCTGGCCTCTAAGAAACCTTTCGAGTCGGAGCAGAGTAAAAATATTCCTACTCACCGCCACAGTCTCCTCTGGTAATGATTTCCGCTCCTTTTTCTTCTTATGTTTCTTCGGCAAAATAAGGACTTAAAAAACACACACAAGAATTGGGAATTTTCCCCGAAAATCAAGGCGATCGAGTTGAAAAGGGCAGCTGAAAAACGGCCGTCTGGTATAGGCTCGTAGGGGAAGCGAGTGGGGGTCAGGCCAGTGCCCGGGGCGGCCGGGCGGGCTCGCGACAGCAGCCGCACGTGTCGCCCTCCTTCCCGGTTCACCACGTGGCCGCGCGGGGCTGAAAGGCCCTCGGCCCGCGGGCCTGTAAGTTCCATCAGGGACCGTCCGACGGTCCTCGAGGGCTTGGGGCCCCTAGAACTTCTTTTTCGCCTGGGAGGTCCGCGCCCGCCCGAGCCCCTCGGCCCCTTCTCTTCCCCTCCTCGCGCGGCGCTGACCATGGCGGCAGAATGGGGGAGCTCGACCCAGGCCCCGTCGGCGGGAGGCCCGGGCCTCATGGCGTCACGTCACCGCGGGGGCCTCTCAATCTCTCGCCCTCACCCCGTGGAACCAAGGCCAAGCGACAAGGTCGGCGGGAGGCGCGGCGGCTGGAGCCAGCGGACAGTTCTGGCCTCGACGTCCGCCACCCCCCACCCCCGGCTCCCCCCGTCGGAGGTCGCGACCCGGGCCCGGCCGGCCAGCCGCCCTCACCTTCCGCGTCCGCCATGTTGCCCCGCTGAGCTCCCGAGCCGCGTGGGCCACCACCGCCGAGGAAGCTACTGCAGGCTCCCGCCGCCGTCAGGCTGCGCCGCTAGGCCCCGCCCACCTGTGCGCCGCCCCGTGCGTGTCGTGCAGAGGGGCGGGGCGAGGCGGCGCGGAGCCACCAGCGCGCGTCGGACGGCCGCACCATCTCATTGGCGGCCGCGGCGGCCCGCGCTGGCACAACCGCGCGTGCGCCTTGGGCTTCGCCCCGCCTTCAGCGGCCTAGCCGGGGAGCGCCTGCGCAGCCCACCTGGGCGGGGCTTAGCTGTGGGCGTGGCCGAGCGAAGTCCTAGTCTTTCTCACCGGTTTTTTGTACGGGAAACTTGGGCACCTGGGCACGTGTCTCAGCGTTCCTTGCTTCCCGCGCCCCACCCCCCTTCAAGGTGGCTGTCGGATCAGTCCCGATGCCGAAAAGAAGACAGACGTCGAGGCACATAGAGCTTTGCAGCTTCTAATTTCCATCGTGCTAGAGCGGCACAGCCCAATAGAAACAGAGTGCGAGTTCCTTGTGGACTTTTAAAATTTTACAGCATCCACTTGAAAAAAAAAAGCAAAGTAGACGGTTACATCGGTTTCAATAACAGACTGTATTTAACGCAGCAATTGGCAATATTATCGTTTCAGCATATAAGCAATGCACAACATTATGAATGACATATTTTACTATTTTTTTGTTTGGTTGGTTTTTTTTTCTGTACCAAGTCTTCCGGTGATGCTTTCTGGTTAAAACACAGCTGGATTGCAGCTCCACTACGGGTCTCCTTGGGCTTCCCTTGTGGCTCAGCTGGTAAAGAATCCGCCTGCAATGCAGGATACCTGAGTTCAATTACTGGGTGGGGAAGATCCCCTGGAGAAGGGGAAAGCTACCCACTCCAGTATTCTGGCCTGGAGAATTCCATCGGGTCGCAAGGAGTCGGACACGACTGAGCGACTGAACTGAATGGGGCTCCAAGCGAAGTGATCAATACTCAAAGGTCACTTGGGGCGGTCATACTAGACCGTCAAGCAACTAGAGGCTCCAGGTTCCAGATTTTTCCCTCTTCCTTTGGTTCACTTCTCTTCTCGCTCTCAAGTGGGGATTTTTACACCTAGCCCCCATAGACTTAATTGATCCGGAGTTATTTCTTTATTGCTATTGTCAATGGAATTTTTACCATCATCTTTTCTAACAAGCTGCTACTGACAAAAGAGGACAACTATTGCTCTTCTTCCATTTCCTCCTGTGCCATCCAAAGATTAGGAATTTTCCCATTTTACTTGTGGCTTAAAATACACGCAGTGATAGATTTCCTCTTCTTGGGATCTAAAATCACTGTGGATGGTGACTGCAGCCATGAAATCAGAAGATGTTTGCTCCTTGGCAGGAAAACCATGACAAACCTAGACAGGGTTGAAAAGCAGAGACATTACTCTGTTGGCAAAGGTCCATATAGTCTTCCCAGTGGTCACATAAGGTTATGAGAGCTGGACGGTAAAGTGGAGTGCTGAAGAATTGATGCTTTCAAACTGTGGTGCTGGGGAAGACTTCTGAGAGTCCCTTGGACAGCAAGGAGATCAAACCAGTCAGTGTAAAGGGAAATCAATCCTGAATACTCTTTGGAAGGACTGATGATGAAGCTTAAACTCCAGTATTTTGGTCATCTGATGCAAACAGCTGACTCATTGGAAAAGTCTCTGATGCTAGGAAAGATTGAGGGCAGAAGGAGAAGAGGGTGTCAAAGGATGAGATGGCTGGATGGCATAACCAATGCAATGGACATGAACTTGGGCAAACTTTGGGAGATGGTGAGGGACAGAGAGGCCTGGTGTGCTGCAGGTCATGGGGTTGCAGAGTTGGACACAACTGGGCTACTGAACAACAACTATATATATGGGCTTCCCTGCTGGCTCAGATGGTAAAGAATCTGCCTGTACTGTGGGAGACCTGGGTTCAATCCGTTGGTCAGGAAGATCCCCTGGAGAAGGAAATGGCAACCCACTCCAATATTCTGGCCTGGAGAATTCCAAGGACAGAGGAGCCTGGCAGGCTACAGTCCATAGGTTTGCAAAGAGTTGGACATGACTGAGCGACTAACACTTTCATTTCTTTTCAGTTCAGTTCAGTCACCCAGTCATGTCCGACTCTATGTGACCCCATGGACTGCAGCACGCCACGCCTCCGTGTCCATCACCAACTCTCGGAGTTTACCCAAACTCATGTCCTCTGAGTCGGTGATGCCATCCAACCATCTCATCCTCTGTTGTCCCCTTCTCCTCCCACCTTCAATCTTTCCCAGCATCTTTTCAAATGAGTCAGCTCTTTGCATCAGGTGGCCAAACTCTAAACCCTGCCAGGTCCCCCCTCACCAGCAGAAGTGGTTCCTCCTCCCCTGTCTGATAAGGCTGCTTCTACCTTCTTTGGAGACCTTATAATGATATCACCTAGTCAGTTACCAAGCAATGGGATGCCCATTGCTTGTAACCTACTCCTCCCATCCCTTGTTGTCTCCAACCCCAAGATTTGGGGAGGAGGATGTTGGAATGAGTTGTCATGTGCAACCCACTGCCTCGCCCCTTAACTAATGTCATCCCTTCGGGTGACATTACTTTCAGCAAAACACTGAGACATACTTTGGTGAACATTCTGGAGAACTAGTCTCGGGAAGGAGGTGGGAGGTCTTGCCATGGAAACAGTCTTGTGCTCTCAGTGGGAAGGATGGGATCCCAGAGAAGTAAAGTGTAAGTGGTGGCACTAAATCCCATTGAAACAGTACAGGTAACACAAGATATAGCAGAGCTGGCAGCTGGAACTAAGATGGTTCACCCCCAAGGATCTTTGGGGGTGATTGATCACGCTGTCATGAGTAAGCTCTGGGAGTTGGTGATGGACAGGGAGGCCTGGCATGCTGCAGTCCATGGGGTCACAAAGAGTCAGACATATATACACCATGGAATATTACTCAGCCATTAAAAAGAATTCATTTGAATCAGTTCTAATGAGATGGATAAAACTGGAGCCCATTATACAGAGCGAAGTAAGCCAGAAAGATAAAGACCATTACAGTATACTAACACATATATATGGAATTTAGAAAGATGGTAATGATAACCCTATATGCAAAAAAAGAAAAAGAGACTCAGATGTATAGAACAGACTTGTGGACTCTGTGGGAGAAGGCGAGGGTGGGATGTTTCAAGAGAACAGCATTGAAACATGTATATCTAAGGTGAAACAGATCACCAGCCCAGGTTGGGTGCATGAGACAAGTGCTCGGGCCTGGTGCACTGGGAAGACCCAGAGGGATAGGGCGGAGAGGGAGGAGGGAGAGGGGACCAGGATGGGGAATACATGTAAACCCATGGCTAATTCATTTCAATGTATGAAAAAAACCACTGCAATGTTGTAAAGTAATTAGCCTCCAACTAATAAAAATAAATGGAAAAAAAAAGAGTCAGACATGACTGGGCAACTGAACTGAACTGATAAAAAATGAAAGTATTAGTCGCTCAGTCATGTCCAACTCTTTGCAAACCTATGGACTGTAGCCTGCCAGGCTCCTCTGTCCTTGGAATTCTCCAGGCCAGAATATTGGAGTGGGTTGCCATTTCCTTCTCCAGGGGATCTTCCTGACCAACGGATTGAACCCAGGTCTCCCACAGTGCAGGCAGATTCCTTACCATCTGAGCCACCAGGGAAGCCCATGTATATATAGTTGTTGTTCAGCAGCTCAATTGTGTCTGACTCTTTGCAACCACATGGACTGCAGTACACACCTGTAGTAGACCACCACCAACCAAAACGCTCAGTCTGGTGAACAGCAGCCTGCCTTTAATCACCACCATGGAAAATCATGGCCTCTCATTGAATTTCCAGACCCAGTCAAATCACAGGCTCAGCTCTCAAGCAAGGGTGAGGCCAGGTACACGGAATACTACAAGTGTATACTCTTAACCTGCCTCTGACTTACCCTTGGGACCATAGAGGCCACTGTGGTTCACTAGTCGGAGATGGAATCTTAGTCTGGATCTCTCTACCTGTGGACACCCAGTTCCTGACTGCATATTTGGAAACCAACACAATTGGCAGCTGGAAGAATTCCGATGTTGGAAAAACCATCCAAAGGAAGCCCCAGGCACTGCCCCGTCAATTATCTGGCACGTTATCATAAAGAAGTCCCCGACTGATTGGATCATCCCATTCTGCCCCAAACCATCATGCTGGCCTGCTCCATTAATGGCATCATGCTGAATGGACCAGATGCCCAGGAACTAGCAAGTATTTCACCACTGAGCGAAAGATAAGCCCTATGAAAATCCAGGGGCCCAAAACTTTTGCAAAGTTTCTGGGCACCAGTGGACTGAGACAGGTTGACAGGGATGGTCCCTCTAAAGAGAAACAGAAGTTGCTGAACCTGGAACTCACTATCATAAAGAAGAACCCTGACAATTGCTGGGCTCTGGCTGAGAGTGGCACGCCCTGCTAGGATGGTTTTACATCTTGGCCAAAAACCAGCTGGGGAAATTGATGTGGGTCTATTTCTGGGTTCTCTATTCCATTCCATTTATTTATATGTTTCTCCCTCTACTGATACTAGGAAGTGGCAACCCACTCCAGTACTCTTGCTTGGAAAAATCCCATGGATGGAGGAGCCTGGTAGGTTACAGTGCACAGGATCACAAAGAGTCAAACACGAGTGAGCGACTTCACTTTCACTTTTTCTACTGACACCACACAATTTTTTTTTTTACTTTTTAAAAAATTTTGATTGGAGGCTAATTATGATATTGTGGATACCACACAATCTTGATCACTGCAGTTAAATAATGAGCCTTGAAATCTGTTGATCTTGTATCCTGCAACTCTGTAGAACTCACTTATTGGTTATGGGAGTTTTTCCGGTAGATTCCTTTGGATTTTCTATGAAGACAATGATATCATCTGCAAATTGAGACACTGTTATTTATTCTTCTCAATCTGTGCACTTT